GAGGGGCTGGGTGGGGGGGGGGGGGGTGGGCGACGACGGACCCTCGCCCGCGGGGCCGCCGGTTGCCCTGAACCTGCGCCCCGGCTCGGCTCTCGGGCTGCGCCGTGCTTTCCCGCCCCGGGGGGGGGCGGCCGGCTACCGGGCGCGGCATCCTTTAAGGCGGTTGCCCGGTGGGGCCGGCTGGTCGCCCTCGGCCTCGTCGCTGACCCGGTGCCGCCTTCCCCGGCGAGGGTCGGCTGGCCGGTGCTGGAGGAGCTGCCGGTTTTCCTCGGTGGCCCCCTCTGGGACATTCCTCCCGCCCTGGGGGACTCGACAGACCTGTTACATTGATGATGTCCGTTTGCTTTTCCTTCGCGCTATTTCCTGCTCTGGTTTTTTTGGTTTTTGGTTTTTTTTTTTCGTTTCCGTCGCTTCTCCTGGATACTTAACCCATTTCGGTTGAATATAGGACTGTTCGTTTCCGTTTGTGAGCTTATCGGCCTTTCTGGGTGCACTTAAAGCACTGCAGCTAAAAGTAAGGTTGACTGCTACCTGGAGTTCAGAAGCCGATGGGTAAATCTCGGTGTGATCATTGCAGAGGAGTATCCATCTGTTGCTTTTCGTCAGCCGTGGTGTACTCGTGAAATTCCTTCAGATAGGATCCACTGCCTGTATTCACATTTGCATCTTGCGCTCGTGGCACCGAACGGGAGGAGATGGAGCTGCAGGATGTCTGGTTTGCAGGCTTTTTTGGCCTGTAGCGTGGCAGCAATTCCAGAAGTTCAGCTGACTTCAATCTAGGGCTTGCGCTGCTCGGAGAGGAGAGCGTTGGCTGCCCGTGCATTGAGGCACAGGCACACGTGGCTTTGCCTTTTATTTCCAAGCGTGTTTGGTGTGCTGAAAAGCAATTTGCTATGTAGAAGAACGTGGGTAGTGCCAGCTTTTTCCATGTTTCTCCTAACCTTTACCCTGTTGTACTGATCTGCGGTCAGGTGCCGTTCTCGGTGTTCCAGATAGCAGGAGGACGTGGACAAATTCCCAGGTGTGGAGCTGGTGCTTAGCTGGGTACTGAAGCAGCAACTTACACTAAATATCACATTTGAATGAATCCTCTCTAGCTCTATAGTCTGCATGGCGACCTTTGTGGGTACTGCCGTTCTGCTGGTGAGGGTGGTGCTTGCTCCTGGTTGAGCAACAAGTTTTCTCTCTGAAATAGCTATTTGTGTAAAACATACAAAGAAATCTTCACCTTGGTTAGTTTTAAACCTTGTCATTGACCTACACAGTGGCATAAAAGTGCATAGAAGGCTGATGGTTTCTGTTCTGTGTCATTTCAAGGAATTTAACTTTGGTATCAACTTGCCTGAGCAACTATCGAGTTTTAACGTTCTTTGGAAAATGGAAGTCCGTGGTTAGTGGTTTTCCTTCTCTAATCGCACTTCTTTCCTTATGCAACCTTACCGCAAGTAAACTTTTGGTAGCAGCAGGAAACAGGTTTGAGATCTGCCCACCTATGTAATAAGTTCCTTGCGCCATCCTGTGCTCACCCAGATCCTTGGCTCTTTAATACACCCGCACAGTTGTTTGGATTTTGGGTAGCATTTATCTGTGTGCCAAATGCTCTTTGTGCACGAGTTTTCATACTGTTTTTCCTAGCTTGCGTGCATCTAAATAACAAGGTCTCTCTGGGGCTTAATGGCAGTTCTAGCAGAAACTATTGTAACTATATTATAACTATTACAAGTATTTTCTGAAAGGGCAATAGGCCAGTAGCATCAACGCGTCTTCCTAAGTGTGACGGTTCTCTGGTGTTGGCTGTACAGTCTCTACAGGAATATTCATTCAAGTGTGTAATTCCTTCCTGGTAGTCAGGTTGTTCTCTACTGAATAAAGTTTTCTTTCCTTTCTTTCAGTTCTGGGAAATCCAGTTAATTATACAAATAAGTGCAAGCGTTATGTGCTGAGTCAGTGGCATGGGGGAAATTAATAGCGTGGCTTCCTGGCCTAGCACGGTTCTCTGTGGGAACTGTTACAGTAGACTAGTCTGCAATCCTGAAATCTCTGCTCTGAAGGCTAGCATAGCTGTAAATGACCTGTTTTCTGTGAAAAGTCATATTGCTTCCTTCTGCAGAATGTGAAGGAGCTGAGGGTGGTGTTATGTCTGGAGGAAAAAAAAAAAGAAAATATATGTGAGATGTCAAAGTTCGATTTAGGAACTCCACTGACTGCCTCATATTGCCTTAACTTTCTGTGTATGAAGGCTTTGCTGTCAGTTATATAATTTAAGGTTGCTCTTTATCAGGGATGCAGCAATCCTTGTTTTCTCTGATGTAAAATGGTTGCTGTATGTCACTTTATTCCTGCATGCAGGTGAAGAAGTCTGGAGATGTCTAGGATGCGGGGACAGCATTGCTGCAGGTCAGCGCCTCTACAAGACTGTTAACGAAGCTTGGCATATTTCCTGTTTCCGGTAGGTAAACTTTTAGCCCATTGAACTCTCCTTGTGGTGTTCAGCTGGCTTGGAACCTGGTGGATAAGTACCATCTTGCAGAGCCGTTGTGTGCTTTTGTTTGTGGCTGTACTTGAGCGCTTGCAGTAGCACTCTGGAACTGACTTTCGGTCCCAATAGCGGTCTGACACTGCCTGGCAAAGTGTTGCCATGCTGACGCAAACGCATACAGGAATACAGATAAAGTACAAATGAAAGCTCTGATTTACTGGTGGTGGCAGAAGCCATGGGTTGCACATTTGTCTTCAGCTGCATTCCAAAGCAGTGCCCAGGCAATTTAGATAGCCTGTTGCTTTTTCCATATGTGGTAGGTACAAGGGAGATATCAGGGTGTTGGGGGAAACTGCTGATATGGGGGAAGGAGATCTTGCCTTTTGCTTTCTCTCCTTTTCAGACTAGTAAGACTTACAAACTTATGAAATCTGTCAGATAATGTTGCTGTCGGCAAGGACAAAAAGGGATCTCTGACATGCTTTTCTTCCTGGTGGTAGGAGTAATGCCTTTCGTTGGTGTTTCAGGAATACTCGGTTCAGCTTTCATGCTCCAGAATCACATTTCTGAAGGGGCCTGTATTTTTGAGAGGGGTTGAGTACCTGCAGCTTCTACTGGCTTCTGTGTTGGCTTGAATCTGGAGAGACTAATGTTTTGGATACTGTCAAAGCAAGTAGGGGAAAAGGAAGCCAAAGTGTGGCTTTGGAGGAATGTTTGCTGTGCCAAGATAGGCATCTACTGTCCTGGTGAACCAAAAAACCGCAACAAAATACCCCAACTTTGCTGAAGTGAGGATTATGGTTATTGGTGTATTTAAAAAAAAAAAAACCAAAAAAAACAAACCAACAAAAAAAGCCATATCATCATGCTGCCAAAGCAGTGCTAGCTCTGTTGACGTGGAAATTGCTGTTAGGTACAATGACATGTTAATAATCACAATTACAGCTTTATATCACTACAGATCCCAGTCTTTTGGGTTTCTATTGGTTTGAGTATTCATGTTTAGCTATATTGAGTCAGCTTGTCTTAATCCTGGTTTTCTCTTCTCCTCCTTAAAGAACTAGTATCCTGTTGTTGAGTTTCCCTAGATTCTGCCAGTAGCCAAACCCAAATCTGTGTGTGCTAGTAAGTCTTTCTTTCTTGACTTTGAATGTATTTCTGTTGCAGGTCTTGATTTGCAAATGTCTTGGTGCTTCTTGCTATTGGGGCTGTCGAGGTGGATAACAGCTGAGCTTGAGGCAAATCCTGCCCTTATGACACTTTACAGAGAATTTGATATCATGAGTAATATTGTATAATGGAAGTTTGGTGGGGTTTTTTTTGTTTGTTTTATACAAGCAAAGACGCCAACTTTTGTCCTGAGGTGTGTAATGACTTTTTGCAGTTGCTGATGCGGTTCTCTTATGCACTGTGCTTTTGGCTAGCTCCAGCACCCATCTAAGCTGCCATGCTGAATGAACAATTGGAACCTGCAGTAAAGGAAGCTGCCCTTCCGTTTTTCCTAGTTCCAGGGTAGGACTGTACAAGAAAACAAATTTCCAGTTTGCACTCTGTTCCCCCTTTTCTTCTGTTATCCCTAAGCCATGCTGAGCAGCAGTCTTGTGCTTGATATCCCAAAGCCAAACTTTAAAAAGCCTCTAAGGGTAGGAGCCTTTGGCAGCTGGTAGCTGTGAGTTCCGGCCACTCTTGTGGAGTGTTTTTTACAGTCTTCCTGTGGATTAGCTGACTCCCTGGCCTGGCACATAATTTCTCTAATGCTGATTGGCACTGCTCCAGGCTCGTTAGCTCTGTTTATTCTTGGTCAGGCTAGGCTGCTGATCATGCTTGGCACTGGCAGTAGCTGACGTACATGCGTGTCTCTGAGGATTTAAGTTTTTTGTCACTTCCCTCCTTCCTCAATCTGCATGTACAGGAGCTTTGTCTCTGAAACCTGTATTTTCTCTGCTGTGGCTGGAGGGACAAGCAAATCCCAATTCATGTATCTTGGATATTTTAAACTGTTCTTTGGCCAGCTGGTCCTTAGGCTTGGATCTGGCTGAGGAAGTTTCTTAGATGTTTCTGTCACAATGTCTGTTGTGAATTAACTCTGAATGTACTTTTGGCCTCTGAATTCTGTTGAGATAGCATACGCTTTTCAAAGGTTGTTGCTTTTCCCTGATAATGCAGTCCCACTGGATTGGAACTTACGTTGCACAGAACTTCAAACGCTACACTAAGAAAGGGAAAGAAAGAAGTGGCAAGGTATCTTTTTCCTAGGTCTGGATCACTTTTACCTAAGGGGATTATTGGAAGAGCTTTTTTTGAGCTAGAGCATGCTGCTCATACTGCTTTCAGTCTGACTTTTTTCCATATTACAAAATAGAAGATACTGCCCTGAGTTATACCTTTGAATAAAGTATTGATACCTGGTCTTTTGATGTCCATTGTTGGGGCCTTTTTTTTTCCACAGATAAAGACAAATGAAATTAAAGACAATTCCCTCTTTCTGTGGGGATATTGCATATTTGAACTGGAGTAGGATGGGATGAGAAGACCCAGATATAGCTGCATGGTTTAATCTTAAGGGCACAGTATTTGTTAAAAATCCAGTTTTGATTATTTGAAAACCATTAATTCAGATCAAGCCTGTTGAATACATCCAGGTGGAAAATGCTTTTGGATCCCTATGAAGAAAATTATTGGAAATGGTGGTAGGAATTCCTGCTGTAGCGGGGTGCTTAAGAACTTTATAGGAAGGAAGACAGCTGAGGTTCAGTTCCTTCCTAACCATGAAATAACAGAGGATGTATATTACTATGGTCTATAAAATAAATCTAATTTAGGTAGCCAAGCAACACAGGCTTGCTGCAGAAATCTCAAAACAAAAGGCAAATCCACCGCATCAGATTAAAATTGTTCATAGTGTATCTTATAACAAAAGTTACTGAAGGTGATGGATTACTGATGATTTTACAATTACAGATTTAAAAATATACTCTTTAGTTTATACCAAAACCAGTTAATTTAAAGCTGAAAAATCATCAGGAGTCTGAAGAGCAGAAAAGCTCATCTTCCTTTTTCTGGAAGAGGAAAGGAAGGCAGGGAATTTTTGTATGAATCCAAAATTTTTCATTAGTAGGTCTAAAGCACTGGAGATGATGGTGATCAGAAACTATTTGTTCAGTTTGGACAAATATTTCCTTTTTGCTTAATACACCAGATTTTTATGCATACACAATGTAGCTTGACCTCAGGAAAAATTATCATGGCTTTCTGTATATTTTTTTAAATTATATTATGAAATAGGTTGCTGCCAACTTAATAATATAAACAACTGTATGACTGAAAAGTGTAACCTTTTGATATCTGACTAAATATATATTAAATCTCTTTATACTGATCAGGGATTACATTATTATATTTAAGTAATTGCAAGCAGTAAGTTGACTTTCCAATAGGTGATGTTGGCTAAAATTAAATATGGTCTTGAAATAGTTAAGAGACTGTTTACACTTGTAAAAAAATCTAAAGTAATAAAAATGTATTTGTTTAAATTATTACCTAGAGTTAAATCAATTCACCTGACAGATTGTTTAGGATTCAGGTGCTTGCACTCTTTTTGAATGTGTTACTCTGTTTCAGTTTCTGTTAACCTTTACTGGAGCTAGAAACTAAAAGGCAGAGTGTTGTAACCACCAGAAGGCTGTTCTCTCTAAATGAATACTTTGAAAAAATGGAACAGTCTTGGCAGAGTGCAGAAGAACTCCTGGCTCCGTCTCCTACTGGTATTCTGAAGTGAATTTGAAACAAATTCTCCTTCTGACTGTTTCTCGGTAGTGGAACAAGGTTAAAAGTAGATTCTTCCCAGAATCCCTCGTTGCCCACCCGTTGTGCACTCTGCAGCGTGACAATTGTCCGTGGTCAGAAAACAGAACTGGATTAGCTATCCATGCATCGAGGGGATGCCCTAAGCTCCGGGCTACTGAGCAGAAAGAGAACCACTATTAATTTGCCAACTCTAGTAATTTGATTGTCTTACAAAGATGTGATTTTTCTATACTGAATGGCATATTTTGTGTGCTATAGAAGTATTTTTTGCTCAGCAAAACTTGGTGAATCACTTTGATTCTTTTTACATTTGGGGGCAGGGGAAGGCAAGCCAGGCAAACGTGAAGAATGTATATAGTTAAACCTGTTTTGGGGGTTGCAGGATAAACTAGATGATTTCTGAGGGTATTTTCTACATCTGTTTTCTGTGGTTCTTAGGATATCTACTAAGCTTCCACTTGGGTTTGAAGGAAGTAATTTCTATGGCTTAGGAATGATCAAGAAACTGATCACCTAACAATCTCCCATCACTGTAGGTTTTTGGTCTCCCAGACTAAGTCTACTAGCACTTAATTATCCTTAGTGTTAGAAGCTTCTGTCTACTACCTTCAGAAATTCCCCTTGTTGCAATTTAAACCAACTTCTTCTAGTCACTTTCACAATGGATGTGGAAAAGAACCTTTTTTTTCCTCCTTCTGTTAGTCAAGTAACCTTTTCCTGTTTGAAAGCAGCAGTCGTGTCTCCCATCAGTCTCTCATAGACTGAAGAAGCCCTGGACCTAGCTTTTTCTCATGGACTGTGTTTTCTAGACTTTGGATCACTTCTGTTGGTTCAAACTGTTTGGCACAGGCTTTCGTTTTCCAAAAGCTGCTTCCTCCCCATAGGCAACAGGACAAATAGATCTACAGCGACAGAATACGAAGCTCAAATGTACAAATGTTGACAAAGATGTAGGCAAAGGTGTGTATTAAGATGAATTTGAAATGTGGGGATGTTTGATGCTTTGAATCTTCCTTTAGCTTTTCAGCTGTGAACACAGTCAGGTTTGTATACACAGCAGCTGAATTTGAGAGCAGGGGAAAGATCAGTAGTAACAAAAGGCAGCTGAATTATGGTAGAAGCAGGAAACAAGAATCTCCTCTTCTTCCCTGTCTTCTCGGGTT